TATATCTAAGTACAAACCACCTCCCATCAACTCTAGCTCCAAGACCTTCAGTCCAGTCTAGCCAATTTGGGAGAATTAAGGGTACAACCAGTTAACGAGTAGCCTCGTGGACTACCTCAACCACTTATCCCATTTGCAGCACTGATTTCCTCCCTTGGGGAAAGGGCCAGGCAGGCCAGTAATAACAATTCATAGCTCTTCATTAACCTTGCGGGGCGTCAAAAGCCAGTAACTGAACCCCTTGCCATCAGGTAATCATCTTTCTCTGAGGCTGGTGGTTTCAAACTACTGACTCTGTAGTTAATAGCCTGACAATCACTACACTGTTTACCTTGTCATACAAGTCTCTGCTTAACCCTCATCTACCCACTGGTAAGCTCACTTGTTCAGTGTGGACTACCCTAGTATAGGAAGAGCCATGTTAAGGCAACTCAAATAGGAAACTGAGTTTTTTCCCATCCATCACCAGGTGAACAGGTACAGGACCTCTTCCAACACTGAAGGGCCGACCATGTTCAGCACCATTGCAGCTTAATCATCTTCCCCCAAAATTAAATGCAGGTTGCTCTCAGGTGCTAAAAGTCAGCAACCAGGATGCCAGAGGCACATACTCTGAAGATCCACATTCAAGGCGACATTAGCTCAAGTTCCAGGGCTGGTCAGCAATGGAGTGGGTGTGGTGGTGTGGTTCAAGAGTTCATTATTTAGTTTCCCCAAATATATCTAAACTTCCACAGGTTCAGTTGGCTCAAGAAATCAAGACTGGACACTAACAATTCATGCATAAGTACTGGAAAAGAAGCCTGCAAGTGTGCTTTGGTCATGGTAACCAGGTTATTAAGAATTATCACGTTTTTGATATTTTATGATAAAAAACAAATGCCACCCCAAGTTTTTATGGCTATCCATATTGCTTTACAAGAACTCAGCTTACAGGATTTACCTGTGTATTGTGCATATTGGCTAGTTCTAATTATCTGGCCAGAGAAATAATAGCCTTAGTTCCCATCATCGAGACAGGATCACAAATGAAGCAAAGTCTTATCTTTAACCGATAAGACAGGTTTTTTATTTCAGCACAAATCTACTATCATTTTGTAAATACTATCTGAAGCCACACAACCACATCAAGTATCACAATGTTTATTGATAGATACAAGTATATAAAATCAGGGCATGAACATGACTTGATAAATTAAGTAGACTTAATTTCAATACTATAATAAGAGGGACCAATTAAAATTCTCACCATTTGTTTCACACCCACAAAAACCACTTCAAGGGCATTAACGATCTCTCAAAACTGATCAGTTTTGTGCAAGTAAACCATGTTTCTTTTTAAAAGACTTGTGCACTTGCCCAGGCTCAAGATATTAAAATCTAGCACATAAAGCCCATTACTAGAGGTAGAAATACAGGCAATATACTATTACGGCAACAACCATCAATTACAGTTAAGAATTTTTCTGTAACAACCAAATGGATAATCAAATATTGCAACAACTCAAGTATTACTGAGCAAAGTGCATCTCTACAGTATTCAGTGTTGCTATTCAGTTTGCTAACTTAAAACAGCCTATGGTAACTGGCAGCAAAGAAGGTCCTTGCAATAGACTGCCTCTGCTTGAGAACTTATGATGTAATTATTGCATGCTGCTAATATTCTATCTAAACATTAAAGATACTCCTAAAATATTTGATGGTAGACTATGATTAAGACATTACACTACAAAAAAACCTTACGCAGAAGAAAATCCTACTGACGTGCTTCTGCTTTAAGTATTGTGAAAACATTACAGCGGAATGAATTGTCGCAGTGGTTAGGTCAAATGCAGTTACATCATAGCAACAGTATGTTTTGCACAATTTAAGGCTTTGGCTGGTTCTTTAGTCAGCTTCTTCCTCTGATTCTTCTTCTTCAGCAGTTTCTAGCCAGGTTAGCCACTGATTCACCTATAAATTAGATCAAACAAAATTAGTGTTGGGGTGGGTGGGACACGATTTGAAAAAGCTGCTGTCTAGTTCTACCCCAGAATTCCTCTTAATAGATTATGGACCACTGTTCTGACAGTAGAATAAGCACCTAGAATGTGTACCGAAGACCAACTGAATCAGAATGGCTGCGCCTACAACTTACAACTAAACTACTCTTCGGGGGATTACAGCACACTGTTATTCTAGGACTCCCTGGTGTATAGGTACGTATGGCGTCCTAGTGATACAGTGGTTAAGCAATCAACTAGCAACCAAAAGGCAACAGTTGGAATCAACCAGCTACTCTGTGAGAGTTCTACCCAGGCTTAGAATCCGAAGTGAGGTGGCAGCGAGTCTGGATGTCTCTGTCCTGCCTCTGGTAGTTGGGACAACTAGAAGCGATGCTTCACTGAAATTCTAATACTTCACACTTTGCTGTGTGCTTCCCGTTACCGCTTACTAAACCCCAGCTTGCAGAATGCAGTAAGGCACAAATTTCTCTTAACTAAATAAAATTTACCTGGAACAAAGCCTTGCCTTTCCCTGGAAACTCTTGGGTTATATCTTCTTTCCAAGCCAAGAAAGCTTCTTCTTCAATAATTTCCATGTCGTAGAAGTGAACAAAAAAGCGAAGTAACATGCCTTAAAAAAAAAAAAGTCATCAGATTACTTAGCTAGGTCTCTAAGAACCGTCCCCTATGGAAGTCTCCCGACGTGGCTTCCCCTACCTTTAGGGAAGTTGCTGTTGTTGCAGTGCACCTGAAGAGCATACAGCGCACTGACTTGCAGATCGACGTGATCATGAAGGAATTTCTGCATTACTGGCTTGAAAGAAAGCAGCAGCTGTTTTTCCTGCTCTAATTGTTCTTTGGAAGGAGCAGAGGAAGAATCTGTTTCATCACTGGGCGGGTTTACTTCACTAGAAATATACTGTAAGAAGCTGTATAGAAGCAATAAAGTCAAAAAATTTTAAGTTAGAACTTAAAATTGAGTTCTTTTTCCTTTAAAAAAGAGAACCCAACTCAGCCTTCCTTAGTCTTTTTACTAGTGAACAAAACTAGTTTGTTGAAAACCACAGCTTTCTCAGCTTACCTAGTCATTAAGATGTTCACAAATCCTTTATCTACATGAAGTTTGGGAGAGATGTTATCTTTAATCCATTTGTATATGGTTTGAGGGGATGGATCCAACTTTATTTGCTTTAACAGTTCCTTCTCTAGTTTAAGGAGTGGGAATAAGAAACTCAGTCCCTTTCCTTCCAAAATCTCCAACATGCGGTCCTTATTCTGATCAATTTCTGAAAAACAAACAAAAAGCAAAGTCATGTGTCATGCAGTATCATTTTCACCCAGTTTGCCTTGTCTAGAAGCAACTTTTATAAACCATTCCCCAAATCTGCTAGGACCATGTCAATGAGGAAACAAAGCGCACACAGCAACTGAAAACATGGATCAAATGCAGCAGAGTAAGCAAATCACAATGATTGCCTTTATAAGGTCTATTTGTGGTAATGGTAATCATTTGAACAGAGCAATTAAGAATGCTTCACGACTAGACTATTAGGAACCCACTCAAGATATTAGAAATAATTACATGGAAAAAACCCCAGCTCTCTTACCTGGAAGCATTTTCTGCATATTGACCTTGCTTTGTTGAAAAAGTTCTGTTAACCATTCTCGATCTTGTAATTTAGCCAATTGCTGAAGGCAAAGTAAGAAGAGAGGAAAATGGGTGCCACTTTCCAGTGGTTGAGCTAGTTCTGAAATGCTCACCAACTCTGATATAATGGCACGAGCTGCAAACTGTGCTAAATAAGATTTCACCAAGGGGATGTCAACCTCCAGTTTGGGGCACTGGTCCAATACATTCAGGAAAGCCTTCAAAGGAATACAGAGAATGAGTTTGTTAGTTTCCAAATCTGAATGGCTATTTTTATAAAAACTCAAAATTCACACAAAATTTATAAAGCACTCTACCTGCATGAAGTTGTCACTTGTGGCTATCCCTTCCTGTTTGAGTAAACTGATCAAAGAGCTTGCTTTTTCTTTGTCTTCGTCACTTCTATCCAGTGACAGGATGATTACTTTGCTTAGCATCTCAGGAAGAAAGTGTTTAGGGGCCCTCATTTCTCGTACACCATTGACAGCATCATTTGCATTTCCACTATTCAGATATTCGGTGACGACAGTTTCCTGTAAAGAACACAAATAATCTGGTTGTTTCTCTATCCCAAATACATTTCATAGACTGGAGAATCTTTATGGAATTAAGAAGAAACCTACAGTTAATTTAAGTAGTTCTTCCTTGGATGGTGGTGGCTTTTTGCTGGTCTTGGCAGGCTTTTCCTGGATAAGTGGTGGGTTAGTTTTGAGACCAAGCTGAGGTGTCTAAAAAAGAGCAACATTAACAGGTACTTCAAGTTTAAATAAATTAGTTTGTGGGGTTAAAAGGAAAAGCATAAAGACTCTGAGGCTCCTCAGAAAGCACTGGTATAACAGACAAGGCTGTCACCTGTCCCAGAGGCGGCGTCTGAGTGCGCGGTGGTTGTGCACTAGGAGGGATCATAGTGATCTGGGGCTGAAGCTTTGGCACTTGATTTTTATTCATCAGGAAAGATTGAGCAGGCCTCAGGCTAATCTACAATTAAAAGCAAATCCAAACAGCCATGTTAACAGCACGAAGTCCGCTTTTATTCTAGTGTTACCAGTCCAAAATCTTAGAAATTAATACACTATATATGGGAGAATGTGAAAGAATATCTATGGTAGAAATAAAATTTTCCTAAGAATGAAAGTTTGCTCCACGCCAGGTTTTATTTCTGGCAAAAAAAATTTCGTTTCCAACCAATAATACACCTTAAAAGTCTCATTTATACCAAAAACTCTCCTACATTAACTAAAATATTCAAATAAAACCCAGCATATTAACTAGTTAAGAAAAGTGTCTTGCTTTAGTCTTAGTTCAGCACAATCTATAATTAACCTTGACAATCATTTTCCTTGCTCTAACTAAAGACTTTAGAAGACTTGCCCTCATATCTCATAATCATCGCTCATAGGACACTGGACATCTAAAGAAAGAAATAGTAAACAGAAAAGAGAGAAGAGAGGTTTTAAAGAACTCCAGCATAAGTCCTCTTAACGCATCTTTTTATAATCATCGGGCAGATTTCTGAATTGACAAACTCAGTATATAAGTAACATAGGCAAATGTACCTCGTCTGCATTAAGCTGTCCTTTCTTAGAAAACCGAGGTGGCATATCCTTCGACTGTCCTTGCAGCTGGGATAAGAGTCCCTGACTCTGGTTATGGTAGAGCTGGCTTAGCCCCTATTTCAGAAAGGAGAAAGAAAGTCTAAGATAAAAAGGGATCAAAAAATTATGAATTAAGTACTAGAGGGATGAGGCAAGCCATAAGAAAAGCTTAACTGAATTTGCCCAGAGAAAGTAAAAGATGAAAACAGGGAAGAATAAAAAAAATCTAACCTAACTGGATAACAAAGTGATGTGATTTTACTAATGCTTCACTAATCTTAAACATTTTGCCCAATTTGAAATTTGGACACAAATGTCTATTTGGTTAAGAAAACACACACACACACACAAGCTAAGGCAAAACTGAAATATGTATTTTAGGATGCGATGCTTATTGACTACACATTCTCAAAATGCGCTCGTACCTGGCTTTTCATAAACTTGCCTCCCATCTCTCCAAACTGCGATTGTGTGGGAGGCATGATGTGTCCCCCATGGCCATTGAAGAGTTGATTTGAACGATGACGCCCCATGGTGGGTGAAAATCTATCCTGAATAACTCCTGGACCAGTACCAATTCCGCTACCTTAAAGTACATATATAAAGATATGTAAATACACCTTTATAATGGTTAACTTATTTTTATGTTTAAGCAAACTACTTTGGTCTTGTTCAAAATCACCTGGCATTTGTCCAAACATATCCGCAAGTCCTCCAAGTGGGTCCCTATCCATTTTCATCCTGGGTGGCATGAACGGTCCCTCCAGAAAGAAGTCACTTCTCATCCCTTGAGCCATAGGAGCAGGAATAAACACTCCTAGATCCTTTAAAAATAAGCAAATTTGTCGTGTCGGGGGACACCATCCTACACAAAACTAAAACTAATTTTATCAGGAAACCCCTCAAGAACCTTATTTAAATTACTAAATAATTATTTCTGTAATATTATTCTAAAAATTATATGCAAGATATTACAACATATAAGTTCCACACCAAAAGGAACTATCCTTTAATACAAAATACTGAGGTTCCCTGCGCTATTATAAAAACTTACTTTTACGGCATCTTGACGGATTTGATTGATCGTCTTTGGTCCATTGTCAAGAAAAGCCTTGCGAGGAACCCAGTGGTGTTCTCGCAACTCTACTGTATCCTACAATTACAAAACAGTGTTATGCTCTCTACGCTAACATTCTTAAGAGAGGTTAGCTTAACAACAAATTTACAGAAGCCATTTTACCTGCAGCAGGAAACGAATCCTCGCTGGCAATTCCTTACTTAACATCAAGGAGCACATTCGGGCAAAGTACTGATCCATTAAGGACTGAGAAAGGAGAAATGAAGAATTCACAAGAGTAAATATGTACTTAAGACTTCTGCCTAAATATGCAATTGCTGTAGTAATATCAGAAAACCTAGTTATTTGTGGGATAAAATTAAGACAAATGATACAATTTCCATCAATATACACACCTTGGCTCGTTCATGATCTAATCTAGGTCCCACTGTCCTCATTATCTGACAGAGGCACTCCAAATCCTCTCCCATATCTTTGAGTTGGACTCTCTTCTTCTTTTCCAAAAGCTATCAAAATAAAACACATTATAAGAAACTTCACAGCTATCCTGATTTAGATGTACTTCTTTTCCCTATGTTGCATGATACATTTACAGTTCCTGCTAGGCATTGCTTCTTCACATTTACACATGTTTTTAAGTGTCAAAATTTGCTGGCCATCTAAAATATTTAACTAGCCCTCACACATATCTCAGATGGCATTAACACAACTTTCAGTGACTGATGCTCACCAAAGAACAATGTACCCATTGACAACTTTAAGTCCAAAGCCCCAGTTATATACTTACTGTTTTGATGCACTTATGAAGGATAGATTCATGAATAAGATCAAGCTTGCCAAGTTCTCCAATGAATTTGATGTTCCCCAACATCTTGATCTTAGCAATAGCTCTCTGTTCCTCCTCCTCGGGGAGGAGGGGATTTTCACGCTTATCATAGACTGGGGGAAGGAAGAAGCGTAAGCATTTAGAATTAGGTTTAAAATATATACTGCTATGATCAGCAGCTATCGGGTCAACTCGGGTCATGGCGGCGACCTTAAAACAGAATGAAACAGCTTGGTGTTTTGTGCTGTTTCAAGATCACTAATTGGTACATTTGAGCCCATTGTTAGAACTACCTACAGCCATGGAGTCAGACTCACAGTAGTGACCCTATAGGACTACAATATCAGTTCGTATCAAATATAAATATTCTTACCATCAACATTTCTGGTTCGGTTTTCAAATTCATCTTGCAATTTTGAAATTAGGAGGCGTCTGAATGTCTGCCAAAAACACAAGAGACCATTTGGCAATTTTCATAATGAAAGCTTTCAAACCAATGTAAAAAATAAGTATAAATGCATTGTCACTTACTGTGCTTTGCTTCTGTCCTGGTTGACCCTCTGCTGCTGGGCCATCAAAGTTTGGTGCATCTTCTGCCAATCGCAGACATAGCTGAGCATATAATGAGCTATACTTTGGCTCTTCTAGGGCTTTGTCCACAATCTACAGAGAAAAAAAAAAAAGGAAAAACCCCACCATTCCTATGTAAATATAAAATCTTTCTGCAAATCTAGCCTTATTCTATATATTACCTATAAATTAGGAATGAGGTTATCTCATTGTTTGAATTAGAATTTATGTAAAATATTTAGCACACTCTAGACAGAATGAAATCACTTACAAAGTAACTATTTTAAGTACATAAAAAAGGTCAGGATCAGAGATTTCACACTATACACAATCCCATCCCCTAAGAGGAGGTATTTAAATTGCTAACAGACCCTGGAGTCCTAAGTATTGAACAATTTGCAAGACCAAACTGTGTTTTCCACAGGACAAAAGGTGGCCTAACAGTCTGTTTACCAAATGTTGAGAACGATGAGGGCAACAAATTGACAAATGTGCTTAACACAATGGATGGATGTATAGATTGTGATAAGAGTTGTACGAGCCCCCAATGAAATGATTTTTTTAAAAAAGAGTAATGAATAATTCAAAACGTATCTCTTAAGTTTAACAATAAATTAGTGATTCTATTTTAGTACCATCAGTATACAAATACATCGAGCCAAACCTCGGGGTTTTAAGTATTTAACCAAACACACACACCTTTAAAATGCTTGAATCCACACAACTTACCAGCAGTATGACCCCTTTAAGGATGAGTTTAGACTCTACACCCACATTGAGGAGCTCAAGGCATAGCTTGTCAAACTTTTCAGGAGTAAGCTTATTTAGTATGCTGCAGGGGTGAGGGAGGGGTAGAAAGGAACCAGTGTTAGTCAATGTTTTATGCCTTATTTTGAGGCAAAAAACAAGTTTTTCTTACATGTATACTTTTCTAAATGACCCATCCTTCCCTTTAATACCATGACATTTCTCATTCACTTAGTCATCACAAGGGTGTTAAAACACACATCTCAAACAAAACATGCTATCTGAAAAAAACAAAAACCACTAAGTCAAAGCACAAAGGCCTCCTGATTATTAAAAGCTAGACCAGAAGGCAATACCATTAAATGATCGGCTTTACTGAATTACACACTAGGGGCAAAGGAATGCCAGAATCAATAGGGTTGGGGATTTTAACCCAACAGCTGAAAGTTCGCACATGCTCCCAAACCATCATGTTGTTTAAATTCTTCAAAAAAGTTACCAGCACTGTCTTCATTAAAATACACTTTAGTTATAAACACTGCTTTCTGAAATTCCTTTTTCCCCTTAATCCCATAAATATTATTACATACACATGAAAAACGTACAATTAATCTGGCTTTTCCCCCTTCCTTCTCAGTACAAGGGTAAAATAGACCAACAAACTTACCCTCTTACTTTCCTGAAGATTGCATCATGTCGTTCTTTTTCATTTGCGGAGTTGTTTGCTGCGGAGTTGTCATCTCGTCTAGTGCTTCGTGCAGGAATCCATTTCTGAGCGTTTTGCCCTGGGGTTTTCCCCAGGAACTCGCTAATCAATAGAATTAGATTTATAATTAAGTAAATAGAAACCATGACATTCAGTCACACAAGTCACGTAGTTTAAGACACTCTTCTACATAAAGAAAACAGCTTATGTGTCCCCAACTTCTCACGACTAAGTACCTCTGGTTCTCAACATAGGCTATCTCCAGAGTTTCTCAATAACTGAGGCAGAGCTGAAGAATTTTAGTTATGTTCCCCAAGTAATGCTAATAAATCCATGACCAAGACAACATCTTGAGAATACTCTGTACAGTCTAGACTATTCCGTGTGATTATTTCCACTTTACACATGCCAATTATTATGAACTACTGACTTCCGCTACAAGTGAAAATTCTAAAAAACAGCTTGAGTGACCCAAGTAACCAATTCTAAATTCAGGAACTCTTCAATATAAAAGTGCAATTAAAAGAATCATTTAAAAAAATGTGATAGGGATCTACACATAGATTAAGCCCCTGTGACTCCCCTCTGTTCATGGACCAGGGATGCGAACAGTCTTGCTAACATGCAGAGTGCATTGGAATTGGATTGCTACAGGTGGAGTTAGGTTAAAATTTAGCATCCTATCATTTGATCTCCCTATGATTCATTACATTTGTTGTTTATAATATTTCTTCTTTTGATTTAAGGTTTCATTATTGTTAATGTTTTGGTTTTTAAAATGTTTTCTGTATGTGAAATACAGGATATGTAAATTTATAAACAGATTTAGACATTAACTGGATTAGTAGTTCCTTGGGGCTATGGCAGAGGTTGGGGAAAAAGGGGGAGTAACAGATGAATACAAGAATGAAGGAAATGTTTGGATGAAATGAATATTTAAATCGTATGATATGTGAATTATATGCCAATAAAACAGGGAAAAGAAA